ACCTTTAATAGTATTTGCCAAAACCGTAGCTGCGGCGAGCGTATCCCAGTCCATAAAGGTTGCGTCCGTAGTTAAGGCCGTAGCTGCGTCTTCCATAGCCGTAACCGGCGTAGGCACGACGTCCATAGCCACCATAGCCGGCGTAGCTTCTGCGGTAGCCTCCGAGGCCGCTGCCAGTGACGGGAATACCCTCGCTATAGCTAGTGCCTCTGTTGTAGCCGTTGGGGAAATAGAGAACTCTTCCACTACCGTCTGGGGCTGGGTAGTGCTTAGTGCCTGGGACGGCGGCGGCGAAAGCCACGATGGCGAGGAGGACGACGGCTTTAAGCATCATCTTGGTACGGGAGGTGTGCGACTCTGTCAAGTAAAGAATTAAACGCGGTGATGAGGGCGTCCGTTCGGGTTTTATACCCATTTGGTTGTGATGAATTCGCGTGAGTTTTCGTTTTAATTAATGCTACTAAACGTGTTTAAGATGGAAATATGTTATTCACGATCCCAATGAATAACGGAACGGTCACAAGGACAGGGCGTTTATTGTTTATTAAGATTTAATTGTGTTTAATTTATTCGCCTGGACGTCTTCTTTCGGTTAAAATGTAGTGAGGCAGGCTTTAAATCGCACTGTTCACTGTTGTGTCAATGACACGCCAGCATACCGTAGGGCTAACTTAATTATCATTGTCCATTTAGCCATCTCCAGTTCATTTGTCAGGGTATGATGTGCTTAAAATGTTAATTTAAAGTGTCGTTTGTCCTTAGGTAAATCCACGAGGAATTGATGTGACCTTTGGGGTGATTTCTCATTGATTAAGTCACGCTCAGAAACAGGCCTTATGGTAATGATAATTTATTAAGTTCTGAATGATACTCATAGTAGGATACATCTGTACTTTCTCTATACTACGGTTCATATGGTATAATATAGTATATACATATTAAGTATGGGCACAATATTATCATATATATTTTATGCACTTGTATGTAATTTGTCATGTATACACTTACACCTTATTTGCGTTCTTTATGCAATAGCACTTAGTTAATACAGAAATATAACGGTAAGTACCGGCAGGGAATTATATCGGATATAATTCCCTGGCACCGGTAACTAAAAGTTTCACTTTTCAGCCCAGTCTAGGCCTTAACGACTTATTACATGTGCTTGAAATGCCGCCGCAACATTTTATCAAGTAAAACTACATGTAAATCCAGTAAAATCTGACACATCGTTCACATTGCGCGTTGCTTTTTACTCCAGACTCGTATTTGTTTAAAATGCACAGAGCATCACGGGGGCACGCGACATGGCATGCAGCGCGTCATCATTGCATCACTCCAACTGCTTTATTTCATCACTCTTCCCTTCCCTCATTGCTTGATTTTCTGACTCCGCTTATCAGGCTAAATCATTGCCAACCACCGTCCAATGGAAGTTATAACGGGGATGATATATGGACTGGTCACGCATGGAATCTCATTTTAGACATGGTTGTGAAAGAGGTACTCTGTACGGACGTCCCCTCTCCGATTGACATTTGACCCCGACATAAGGTGCAAGGAAACTCGTTCTTCTCTGCCCGCTTGTTTCTTTGCAGTACTGGTGCATTTTCTCTGTTTACTGTCTTTCCAAAAGTCGGAGAAATCCGGGGATATGTTTTGCAGATTCACTAAACACCGTTTATGTAGTACAGAGGACAATAGTTAATCCATTACTTTTTGCCCGGTAAATGAAACTGAAACGTGCAACTGTCTGTTATTTTTTTATTGTGGTTACGGTATAGAAATACGAGGAAATACGTGTTTTTGAAAGTAACAAGTCTCTGCTACTTATCATAATTTTTCAATTGCCGTGGATCATTACATTACACGTGTAAATTAAAGTAAGGACAATGACATGCAGTGTTTTGAAGACCCTTAAAAGTGGTTAACCCCGAACGCTAACTACCCTGAGAAAATGTTTTTTTCAACACTTATTGATATTTTGGCGCACCAAAGTCATAAAATGGCTGCAAGTCACACTTAGTGTGCTGTTCAACGTGGCGACGCATGCAGCCCAAATGACCACTATTGTCATCCCAGACTCATCATTTATGACGACATTGACTGCTGCTACAAAACCACTTTACACCGAAACCTGTCCTCAGGTGTAAGACCAATACATAAGTCTCGTTAAAATGGGGAGAAATGCATACTAACCATTGGTTTTAAAAGATCAAACATTAAAAATAAAACTAAAAAAAGAAATTAGAAATTTTTGTATTTTTATAAGACACGTGCAATATTTCATGAAGGCATCTATTTCTGTCTTGTCTTAGTCAAAGTACTGGTGAACTAAGATTTTGTTATAAAAGTTTAGATTTTCTATATAGAAATGCAATTTAATGTTATCTGCACTAAGCATTTTCCGGTAATTGGAAATTTCATTGGCATGTTTTTTTTTTCTATTTTCTTTCTTTCTTTTTTTTTTTTTTTATAGTAATTTATCATTTAAGGCAGTAGATGCATGTTTTAGCATATTGAATTTTCATTTTCATGTTGTAGACAGCCCTGGGTAGTATGTGAAGCGCTGTTTTCAAATATCTTTTTATTATTACCATTATTAACGCCATCGTTTAAATTGAGATATTTGTTTAGATGTCTTTTCTTTATCTGATCATATATGTATTCATTTTGGTTCACATGCAGAGAAAGGTTGTTTACATCTAGTAAATATAGTATTTTATTTATACACTGAAAAACACACCAGGTGAGTTCTTTTATCTTTGAAGCACTTTTTTACAAAGAGGTAAGAAATTAGCTTCGGGCGTGTCATGTTAACCATTTCAGATAGAATCAAGATATTTTCAGGTATGATAGTTTGATGGCGTGCGATGTAAAAAAAGATATCTCAGATTTTTAGACCTTTTGTTCAGGGACAGGAAAAATACACTAAAGTAAAGTCTATGATCTCACAATTTTGGCGATAAAATCTAAACTACCTTTTGATAGAACATTTTGTGTTACATCTTTTAAGTTCCATATCAGCAGCCAATTGGGACCAGGGAGTTCTTGAAACCGAAAGTTTTACCCCCACATGAATGCTGCCGTTACATCATCTATGAGATCGTTGAACGCGAGTTCTAGAAAAAATGTGTTATTATATTTTGTATACTAGTTGTGCACAGAGACAGTGGTTTTGTGATTACATTGGAAGGCATTAACCGTCCTTCAATAAAACCAAATGAGAAACGGGCATGCCATTTTAAAATGAAAAATAAATCAAGTCAAACACGAAATGATGCTTCATGTCTTGGTTCACGCAAAGCCATTACAAAGTGACGGGTATAAAACCCAAACGGACTCCCTCATCACCGCGTTTAGTCCTTACTTTGACCGAGCCGCACACCTTCCGTACCAAGATGATGCTTAAAGCCGTCGTCCTCCTGGCCATCGTGGCTTTCGCCGCCGCCGTCCCAGGCACCAAATACTATCCAGCCCCAGACGGCAGTGGAAGAATCCTTTACTTCCCCAACGGCTACGTGAGCGGCAACTACGCAGGAGGTATCCCAGTGTCTGGCTATGGTGCTCTCCCAGCCTCCAGACCAGTCGTCGCTCCACGCAGAAGCTATGTCCGCCCCAGCTATTCCGGCTATGGTTACGGCAGACGCAGCTACGGTTACCGTCGTGGTGGACTTTACGGCTTGTACGGACGTCGCAGCTACGGTGGATATTATTAAAGGTATGGAATTTTGACTTCTTATTTAATTTTTTCCGCTTATTTTTTCTCATTCATTCTCGTCAACTGGTAATTTTGGGAACAGGGGCAATGATAGACATGTTTTTTTAACTCTTTTTCGTTAAGTCTCTGTTAACCTTATTTTAATGCAAGTTGAGCCTTTGATAACGTAAAAAGAACCCAAAATTCAAAAAGAAGTATATAGTTGCATCTATCAATTGTGATATCGTCGATAC